TAAAGCATTAGCAAGTTAAAGCATAATGTTACTACGTAATTTTTTTTTAAAACACGGGGGCAAACGGGTAGGAGGCTCACCTGATGTTAAGTGATACCGCCGCCCATGGCAGCCCGTTGTTGATCTTTTTAAATAAGAATTGGTATTGGTACGCTCTTTTCTTGAAGTACCTTATGTCAAATTGAATTTATCCATTATAATTATGTATTTGAAGGAGTTGGTAGCGGTCATGGCCCAGGTCAACTAGTGGCCCAGGTATACAATTTGTATTTGTAACTACAATATAATTTTAGTAGCTACAAACTACATTCAGATATATTAAATGAGGAAATAGCACTTGTCCTATAATAATACCAGCATTTTTATCGTGATGAGTCCTATTCCATCGCATCCGTTATTGCCTCAATCAATTTCCTTTTTACGTTCTCTCAAGTCGTGCTCATTCTCTATATAATATATTCAAGAGAAAATATATGTTACCAGAAATAAAAAGCGATTAATTGTATTTTTTAATAGTCGTGTATGCTTTTTCGCTTAGTGGCTTTTTTGACTGAGGTCGTAAGTTCGAACACAATTTTTTTATATAAAGGAACACATCGTGAGAAAACCGGCGTATCTTAGACCGAGAGAGTTGGTATATCAGGCACAGCAGGTTGTTCACCTACTTGCCTATTAAACTAAACAGATAAATAAATCTGAGGCCAAGTCCATGGGCTACCACTGCTTTTTAGTGGTAACCCTTGGACTTGTAATTGTGCTACGCCGTTTCAACGTCGTCAATTCGGCCGTGGCGTATTAAGGCTATGATCTTAACAAATGAACTATGCAACAAAAAGTTTATCGTAGAACCAGAAGTTACGCAGTATGCGTTTGAACAAATTCATAATAATATTAGTACATAATTTAAAAATATTTTTGAGGACTGACTGGATCACAACTTACGCAGAGTTGGAGATGCTACTGAGACCAAACACATAGTCACACATTACACTCACGCGAGTTACGCGTCGCGTAATGTTGTTTGGGACTTGTTTTAGTCATTATTGTAAAAAGTATTAAAAATCAAAATCGTAATTTTAAAATATCAGTTAGATTTACTTTGTTATGGAATTACTATTAAGTTTGTTATAGAAGTGCTGGAAACACAAGTATTTTTTACTTAAAAAAATTAAATCAGTGGCGCTACAACCTTTGTAGCTCTGGGCCTTAGATTTCTGTATCTGTTTCATGATCAATTGTCAATCTAATAGGCAAGTAGGTGATCAGCCTCCTGTACCTGGTACACGTCTTTAACTCTTTGGGTCTTAGCCGTAGCCGGTTTCCTCACGATGTCCTCCTTCACTGTTCGAGCGCATGTTAAATGGGCACAAAGAACGAAAGTCTATTGATACACAGCCGGGGATCGAACCTAGGAACCTCAGGGATGGGAGTCGCACGCTGAAGCCACTAGGCCAACACTGCTCATATTTTTTACTTAAAATAAAATTTATTGCTAAAATATTTAAGTTTTAAACGGTCCAACAGCACAAAGCTACTTTTGAAATATGTACTAATCAATCACATACATACAAGAATTATGTTCAAATACCTTATTGTAATAATCCGTAATAATTGACAATGTGAAATCATTCTGCCGTTTCAAATGTATTTATCGCTTGGACGTTTATATACCAACGTCATACTGAGTGTATCACGATTCTACAAGCTTCATCTGTACGTTAGATGTAGGATTTATTAACATAGTTGTATGTAACCTTGAAGGGGGTTTAGGAATATTTCGTCTATGACGCTTTTATTAAGTACTAATAGGCAATTTGACAGTATGAAAAATAAAGTTATGTTTGTTTAAAGAACTCTATTTCTCATTACAAAAAATGTATTTTTATTTACATGAGAAACTTAATATATACGAAAGAGATACACGTCGCCATCAGCCGTCCCAATTTTAGTCTACTAGGCTCATTCTGATATGAATCTTTTGAATTGGTTAAACGCGCTAATATTACGAATTTTGGACGGTAATTGAATAAATAATTGCACATACTTAAGACCTCTTCAAAGAGTTTGTGCGCGGCTTCGGCAAGATAAGCAAACTCGCTCGACGAGTATTGCGTGTATTCGATTTTTTTAAATGATTTAGCTACTATGGAGGGAGTTATTTAATTTTTTTTTAATTAATAATAAACTATATGTTTATAGCACCTGTATCTCATATATTATTGAGAGCAATCTGTATAAAACTTGAATTTAAAACGCGTTTTGGAGTGAAATCGGATACGTCAGTCACGTGACAAAACGGTCACAGCTATCTCGATACCCTACAAGTAATATGTCTATTTTAGAGTTATGTAATACAACATTAGATAAGTTACCTACATATACATATAAAGTTTAGTAAATGTTAGGAATAGTCGCATACTTTCCATATTATATTGTCCAAAAAGGTCTGTTCTGTTATTTAGATTTATAAACCTTTAAATAATACAAGGAAATATTTTTGTTAGTCCAGCGTCACAACCCCTAATTTTACGTTAGTTTAAGCTCCTAATTTAAACGATTAAAGTCAGTTGTTTGCTTCAAACAAAGTGTTTAATTTAACATACATAATATGTCTGAACATATCTACAACTACCGACACCGAACCTAACTCTAGTTAGGTATAATAATAATCTTGTAGTTTAATTTCGATACTGTTTCTCATCGAAAAGAATGCGTAATATAAAAATTATAATTACAAGGTCAAAAAATTGTTTGTTTACATAACAACCATAGGTCATAGAAAATGGTGCGACGCCATTTTGTCTAGAGAAGAGTTTTGGCGGGTTCTTGAAATTGTGAATGTTTAATTACATTTGTTGAAACCAATACTTAACGAAAAAAAAAATTGTATAAGTTCTATGGTCGCTAAAAATAATCTGAAATTGTTTTTAAATCTTGTCAAATAGTCTATTCTAGGTACTAGTTAAATAGAGACCTGGCATAGATACCAAATGTTTTATACTAAATCAGTAAAATGCACTCTTTTAACCAAAATACTCATTCATCTCTTTCTGGCAAATTGTGTTTACGCTGTTAAAGAAAGAGACAGTTGAGTACTTCTATTATAATGGTGCAGTTGGACCCATGTTTCCTATATAAGTGATTTCAGTAAAGTTTCGAAATATCCGTCCATAGAGAATTAAAAATCTATACTTTAGTTACTCTGAAGATGAAAAAAAAATTGATAAAAAGAAGGTTTAATCCTTTCCTAAACTAATAATTGAATTAGTGATTAATTAAATAATAAAATTAATAACAAATAACAATGTCAAGGTCTGTTTGGTTTGATTTAGATATCGTGTCAATGTATATATTATCAGATAATTAAATTTGAATAAATAAGGCGAGCTAAAACGTTTTGTGATTGTACTTTACATATCATTATAGTCTGTAAAATATAATGATAAATTCAGTTCTATAGATACTCAGGAATGTTAATTCGGGAAGGTTCATAGTTCTGCGTAGTTTCAAATACAGCCACGGCACGGCGCTGGCGGCTTCCATACAAAAGAAAATATACTATATTCTATTACAGTACCTATACGATTTCGTGAATAATTAATATAATCAGACTATTATCGATTCAAATATGATAGAAGTTATCACTGAGTTCTTGCAATATATTTTTAATAAAGAAATAAAAAATCAGTGACCCTACAACCTTTTTAGGCCTGAGCCTCAGATTTCTGTGTCTGTTTCATGATCATTTGTCAATCTAATAGGCAAGTAGGCGACCAGCCTCCTGTGCCTGACACACGCCGTCTTTTTGGGTGTAAGCCAAGCCGGTTTCCTCACGATGTTTTCCTTCACCGTTCGAGCGAATGTTAAATGCGCACATAGAAAGAAAGTGCATTGGTGCACGGCTGTGGATAGAATCTACGACTTCAGGTATCAGAGACATTAAATACTATTAAACACAACGATGCAATGTTAAACAAATTAATAGTTCAATGAAATTGTTAGTCGATTGGTGTATTACGCGTTAAATATTTTTGGTACTGTTTCGTAAATTCTATTTCAGATCAAATATTTGTGCTTATCATTCTTATGTCACTTTCATACCGTACGTGATAAAACCTATGACACACTAATTTTAATTGATAATTATTTATAAGAAATTCAATTGGACGTAAAACAATCAATCGCGCGGTAAGAAGTGTTTATTAATAAATAGTTATTAATTACAGATAATGTACGCCTTTGAGTGCAGCCGTAAAACGAATATCAATAACAGTTTAGGTATTCTTAAGTGATTGATAAATTGGGCCTTGAAAATATATTCTATTCGCTAATACGTTTACATAAGAAAAACAGTGATAAGAAAGCAAACGTGAAGCATAGGTATGTGATAAGCGACATGGAATTTTCATCTTATTTACTATTTTGAATAATTTCTGTTGAATATTTTTTAACTGATCATAAACTCGTGGTTACAAATCCACGTGTTTTTTTATTTGCAGTCTTATCTGCTCACTGCTCTGCTCTCTGGTTTACCGATAATGTTTACATAGTCTATCGGAGTACAGTCGCTGTCCGAACGCATCAAAAAATAATAAAATAGTATTGTCTTTTATTGACATAACTTTTAGACATAGAAAAACACTTTTTTAACGGATCTGAAGTTGTGTTTTATTATAAATTTACAATTATTTTACATAATTTTAAATTTAACCGACGTTTCGCGTTCTTTACAGCGTGCATGGTCACGGTGACTGAAGACAAAAGGTGTTGAAGGTCAAAAAGTATCACAGCTGTAGAAAAAGTTAAAAAAGTGTTTTTCTAAGTAATAAAATGTTTATCTATTGTACAACTGTTTTGGTCTCGTGTTTTTATTCTTCTGATTTTGACTTTATTATATTTTTGATAATTTAAAGGATAATTAGTAAAATTAGTCGTTCACAATAGCTATGAAAAACTGTTGACCTAAAATTTTGTATAGAAAACTCGTTAAAGGGTTTTACCTTGCTATAACTGGTACTTTCCGGTTTCGGCGCACTTTCGAAGAGATTCAGTCGTGAATTTTGAAAAAGATCTGCGCTCGAGTTTTCCCTTGAAAACAGTTCCGAACTGGAACTTTCCCTCGTGAGGGTCGGCCTGGCTTGAACAAAGGGATTTCTCCGGGCATTTTTCGCGTGTTTCAGCCAGTTAAATTTATTTATTTCCACTGGTGGTGTGTCTGGAGTCACCTCAGGCGTTGGTATATTCGACATTTTATTACACTTTAATTAATTTATTTGATAACACTTCACACTACTTATTTGTGATACATCGCGTTTGTTATATTTATTTTAGTTTTTTGTTTGATGTAGGTCCGCACGATTGTGGTCGCGACACGGGACTAGCGATATAACAGCGGCGGCGCATAATATGAAGTTAAAATGAGATACAGAACACATACAAGGTGATTCGTTAGCTGAAATTAAACAACCATATTTCTCATTTTGTGAGAGTAGTTTTTCTATCTGTATTTACATACACATACTGTATCTTTCAATCAGTTGTGTTTATGTTCATAAAAGGTGACAATTAATGATAGGTCATAGAAAATTACGTAATTTCGTTCGATAATTTAAATAGTTGAAAAATCTATACTTATTAATGTTATAAAGAGGAAAGGTTTGATTTTTTGTTTGTTTAAAATGAATAGGCTCCGAAACTACTGGACCGATTTCAAAAATTCTTTCACCGTTGGCAAGCTACACTATTCCCGAGTGACATAGGGTATGTTTCATTTTCAAAAAAATTAGGGATGCTTACTAAAACTTGAATAATCTAACCCAAGGTGTAAAAAAATAAACAAAAAACTTCCTTCAATCGTGTGCGCTGCGAAAACTATTAATGATAGAACAAAATGATGTATTCAAATTTTTCAGGACACATCACTATCTATAAAAAATGTCGCGACAGCATGTCTCTATCTTTTATAGTTACGTCACAATAATTTTCTTCTTTTAATCCTTTTATTAATTTTTTTGTTATTAAAATACCACCGCTAGAAAAGGCTCTTTATTCGTACCTAGGTATTGATCCTTATCAAAATAAATACCAATACGTTTCACATAAGCTACAATTTAATGGCATAACCACCAAAAAAGCATGGTGGATTGGTGTTGTCCTGTCGTTTCTCTTGAATAGTTTACTACTATGTAATATAACAAAAATCTTAGCCACAGCAACGCTTGGCCGAGTCTACTAGTATTCTATATTTTGGTGGAACATTGTTACAAGTATAAATCCTCAAATTAATTTTATTTATACAGATCAAAAATATGTAGTTTTAAATCTCCTTAATTTAATGAGAAAATAATGTAGTCATAGAACGATGCAACTCAATGATATATCTGAACCACTCTGAGTGCTGTATAGACACTTAAACATACTTTGAAATCCCCAGTAATTAATAATAATACTTGTTATTTAGTAGTTCAATGACGTCAATTATAAGAGGTCTACATTCGGCGATATTTGGATACTGTGCGTCACTATGGCGTCACACTTCCGCACTTTAAACTCAAAAGGAAACTATTGTTTATTATTATTTTTGTTAATAGTATAGAGCTGATTATAAATATATATAAATAAAATCTGTTGGTCTGTAGTAAATATGCCGCTCGGGTAGGTATTCTTTTTTTGTCTACCCTCTCTATAATTTATATAAAAAATAATGTATGTTTATATCTATTTTCAACACACAAATATTCAGTATTTACAACATTCTTAACGTTCATAGTAATAATAATAATAAAAATGACATGGAAAATTAACACAAATTTAAAAAGTTTGGTGCCTTTTGCAGTGTACCTAATGCTGGTTGCATTTCATGGCTGTATTAAGATACTTATTCGTTGAGTGAGGAAAGCATCAGATTTGGGGTTTAAATTGGCGTCTGGTAGATAGTACCGGTGACCCCAGAGCTGGTGCTTTCCTCGCTCAACGAATAAGTATCGCAATACAGCGAAGCAATGCTTTCAGCGTTAAAGGTACATTTTAAATTGGATTTTAATTATTTTTCTTATTACTATGTAGGTTAAGAAAAAAAAACTATATATTTGATTGTTATACTTAAAAACAAAAAATATTCTATTGTGAATACATACTTATATATCTATTTGTACACCATTATTATCTAAATAACTATACTAAATTATATATAATTATTATATATAATAACTATACGTTTTTATAAGTCTGAGTATAAGCGCTCAAAGTTAAAGGGCCGTTAACACAATACGTTGACCTTTTTAAACCCAGCTTAACCACGAGATAAGACAGAAGGTCCTTTGTTAAGAATCTTTTAACGACCGTTGAAATATTTTATCGTAAAGTACAGCCCAGCCTAATTTAGAAATATGTCAACTGTCACATTATTCAATGATAAAAAGATAAAGCTTTTTTTATTATAAATATTTGTATTTTTTACAAATCAACTCAAAAACAACCGATTTCAATATTTTTTTCACCATTAAAACGCTAGTACACGCTGTCTGTTTTTATCCTAGCGTAAACCCGTGACAGAAAGAGACATATTATAGTACTTTCGTTCAAAGAGTGAATAAAAACTGATTTAGTCATAATGAATGAGTTTATAACCAAAATATGCCCGCCCTGCAAAGTTGGTACATGCAATAAAATGCTGTATTATAATACTAGCTGTGCTCAGCGGATATCCTCGGTCAAAGCTGACCTCGATAAATGCTCTAACACAAACTCAAAAATATCAAAACAGCAGATCACTGCTGATTTTTTTTGAATTTGTCTAGTAGAACGAGCTAGGAATCATCCTCGTTCATCAAATTCTTTAGCTTAATATTAAAAGTATATGTATAAGTATATGTACTTCGCTAGCCAGAAATGAACTACCTTTCTGTTTCAAATTATCTGAAACAGCAGCATCACAGGTTTAGATTGACCAAGTGCTACTAAGCGTCCTCTACTTCGACTATATATTTGCGTGTTGTTCCCACGAGAATGTAAGTGCGTGCTCCTATTTCACCATGCCTCCTGCTCATAGAGGACAAATTTTTGTTATTAATTTATTTTATTATTATTAATTACTTAAGATGTCATGTTGAACATGGTGTAATGGTTGCAGCTTTAGGAACAAACATTGTGTTAAACAAAAAACATGGCGATTAAAAAGAGTGGCGGAGAGTTTATTGCCAGTTCTTCTATTCCGTTCAAATCCCTTTGAGAACCGGCAGTAAATGTAAAATTAGAAGCATTTTATATATATATATATATCAATATGTATATATTGATTTTTTTGACGTTTATAAGTGAATCGGTAATGATAGCACCGTTTTTAGATAACCATCTTCGCCATGAAGTATTTCCGAAACAGTTGGACTTGGGATCCTTTAAAAAAGAGGGTACCAATTCTTAAAAGACCAAAACGCTCGCACTAACATGATGTGAGACGCCTGCCCTTTGCCCCCTGTTCTATAAAAAATATCCAAATCTTACGCAAACACGTAATAATAAAAGCCCTTTATTCACTGACCTTTAAACTTACATGCTACTCTTATTTAACAGTAGTATCTTAAATCTAATTTACATAGCGAAAATAATAATTTATTAGCAACCACTTAGGTCAGGTTGTCTGTCGACATAGGCCTCCCCCAATTGTTTCCACGTCTCTCTATCCTTGGCAGACCTTCTCCATCCTTTTGGTAGATCGTCCTCCCATCTTTTAATTTGACCACCATTCTATACGCAATACACATAGCTCGTAACAAATAAAACAATTATATTAAGACAATGGAGATATACAATTAATTCGTGACATCACGTAACAGATGTGATCTATGTTTCACAGATTACTATGTATTATTATATGAGTTGACTAACATAACTGTTATGACATAATCTTTGTAAACATTATTTGAATATCGGTGAAATAGAAATGTCTTCAATTCAGATAAATGCTAGAAACGCAGGTTGTAAACGTTATTATAATTAAGTAGGAATTTGTTTTATTCAAATTAGTTTTACTCGCGTTTATTTCCAGTTAAGCTTAGGTTTCCTAGAAAAGCGGTGCCGTTATCTAACGGTCGCAATGTAACGTTGGGAGACGTCAGCTATACGTTGTCTATAAATAACAACGGAGTAGTTTTTTCTAGAGAACGTTGTCATCGTAACGTCAAATAGCGGTGCTGTCATTTGCATGACGGCCGTCATAGCGGTGATAAACATTAGTTCAACGTTTTTCGCGTGTAGCGGTGGCCATATTTACCTAATACAATGAGTGGAAACGTGACTTGGACGAGCGAAAATGCTTTTTTTGCATTATGTTAAAAAGTAAAGACGGCCGTTATTAACAACCGTAAAATGACGGACGTTACTTGTCGGCACCGCTTTTCTAGGAAACCTAAGCTTTACAAAATTTAAAGGTGTATAAAAGAACATTGCCTTAATGACGTTTAATATTTGTTTTTGTTATTGAATTATAAAAACATGATTAACTTTTCAATATTCTTCACCAACATAGTAATAATAATAATAATTAAAAATTGGTAAATAGAAAATTAAAACAAATTTTAATTTTGGTCCCTGCTGGTAGGTACACTGCCATACCTTTAACGCTGGAAGCATTTCCTCGCTGTATTGTAACTTTTCAACGTTGGTTATATACACAACGCAATGTTAGTACAAAGTCTTAGTTAATCCATGATTTTGCAGTCAGCAAGGAAAATAGTATAAAAAATTAAATGATAATGACCCCAGAGCTGGTGCTTTCCTCCCTCAACGAATAATCCCAATACAGCGAGGAAATGCTGCCAGGGTTACACATATCTTCTTACAAACATAGACAAACTTATTTAACGTAAGCGTTGAAAAATAACGAATAATGTTTACAAAGCCAACTAGCTGGGTACTTCAGCATATACTGCCAATTTGAACACCTGAATACACAGCTAATTGCATCTTCTTTGACCTATTTAATCACTAGGCATTAAGCACAACATTTTAACAAATAACTAACGTAAGACAGATCATTTCATTGTTAAACACTTTTGTACTGAAAGCTTCAGAAGGCCTTAATTATGCTACGTAAAGAGCAGTGACCTAGTAGGTTGAGTCTGAGAATTCGTAGGTCCGAATACCAGCTGTGCACCAATGGATCTTTATATTTTCGCATTTAATACTCCGTCGTACAGCAAAGAAAAACTTAGACCCTTAAAACCTGAAAAACTTAGAAATAGTCGACGGC